AAAATTATTACTAAAAAAAAAAGTAATAAATTTATTATTTGTTTTGCCTGGTTTATATTTGAATATATTTAAAGCTGAGAAAATATTGTTATTTTGGGACAAAAATTCTCGACGTGCGTGGAGGTTAATCCAGCGCAAGAGGTTAGTAAATGTATTTACAGGAAGATACTAACTATCCCGATTGTATTTCAGAAAGATGATCAGAAACAATTTCAATAAATTCATCTGCTACGGACAAGAGGATACAAGTTTCCTGCTATTCTATCATCTTTCCCCCTATTCCAGTCGCTCGCTGAAAGACTATAGACTATAGACCGTGGCTAGACGCTGCGCCGGATAGAAGAAGGAGGGATATAAGTAAAAAAGAAGATGCACAAACAAGAGACGCATCCGAGAGCCGACAAGGTGTGCACCGCCTTGATCAAGCAGGATGGCAGGGCAGGAAACTAACTGTAGTTGGTGACTAACTTCAAACAGGATTCCACGAACATGCCGGAAATTGTTAACTCGTAAACTATACGTGCACGTACGAAAACGTTTGATTAGGACAAAATGTTTGATGACTTGGGATTTTATGAGCCGTATTCTACACGTTAATTTTACAGCGTACGTACATATTTATGTTCTCATCATTATTCTGTACTAATTAAGGCTATAACTAACTACATTTAATACACATGTATCTAAAATTAGACAAAATTATTATGTAAATGTAATATACTAAATAATAATATTATACAAATTAATATATAAATTAAATATAATATACATTCAATACATTGTTAAAATGTTTATAGAATTCTATACTTTGTAGATATGTTTCTTCAATGCAACATAAAACTTTATATTCTTTTAAAAATCAGGAAAATATCAAACTTGAAATAGTCACGAAAATTCAAGTCACGCGGGCCACGCGGTAAGATCACTTGAAAGTTTGAAAAAACGAATCACTTGAACGAATCACACATTGAACATTTTTCATTAATACAAAATAACTTGAAGCACATAGAAAAACGACGTAAGAGATATTTACCTTTTTATAGTGCTTTTCAAACTACTGTGGCGAATGATAAAAGAAAATCATCACGCAGCATCATTAATCGAGATTACACGTAATCGAGATTCCTCGCTTTGCCATTAATTCCGTTAAATTATTAATCGTTCTAGGCAATCTATTCCTGCGTGGCATCAGCTTCTTACTCTCCGACTGTCCGTTCGTCGCATTTAGATTCTAGCGAAGCTTCCCTACTACATATAAGAAACTGAAACGAAAACGGCCGGAAGACGGTGGTGTGCAGTGTACACAAGAGGAACCTAGGTTCAACGACCTGCTCTCTAGTACCTGTATCATCAGGCTGGCTCCTCTCCGACAGAGAGACGCGTACTTGTGCCTAACTGTGCGTACGAACACACGATACCTTGCATCTCTTTCTGTGAACCGCGGACACGTACTCCAATATGCGCTGGAAAACTAGTTTCACGTGCAAATTACTCCCGTGGATTGTCGCGAGGTGTTTGCCTTGCAAAACGACCAAAATGTCCCTCCTTATCCTCTTACGCAAACGAACTGCTTATCTTGCACGTTTTTCTTATTTTTTTCACATATTATGGTTTTTCTTCTTCTTTTTTTTTTATTGAACAGTCGCAGTGATATACAGCTTTACGTAAATGCATTAATTTCTTTATAGTGACTCGTGAAAATATCTGAACATAGAACACTGATCATAGAAAAATTTTTGCGAATGCATTATATATAAACTAGTTTCATTACTGTGTAAAATTGTTCAATATTCTATGCCACATTGTTAAGTATTTATTAATGCACATAATACACCAATGTACCAATATTTTATGAAAAATGTTTATATATTTTCATGAATTGTAATATAACTATAATTATAGAATAAAAGATAACATACAATATATATATATATAATTCTATAATTATATATATAAATTATTTTATATTATATTTATATATTAATTTATATTTATATATATAATTTATACAATCTATACAATTATATTTGTATCATAATTCATGAAAGTATAGTAACATTTAGAAGTAGAAGAGTAGAAAGTATATAAACATTTTTAATAAAATATTGGTACACGTGCACTATGTGCATTATTATGAAATTGTGTATTACACTACTTGCATGGAAATCTTTGAAGCATGAAGCATTACGAAAGAAGGATATTGCAAGTCTATGACGAGTCAACGTTAGCAAATTATTATACAAAAGCCAATTTTATTTCGTGATGACGCAGAATTTGCATAACCATAAACAGACATTTAAAACGAATTCGTCCTCGAAACTGTTCATCATTCAATTTAATCATCGATACATCGAATCATTCCAGCCAATTTTTTTTTTTATTTTTTAGCTAGAAGCCTGTGAAACAAAAAAATTGTTTCTATAAAGTAACTTTCTATTTATTACGAAGCAAGCTTTTTAAGCCACAATTGCTTTGCAATTATTTCCTTCGTTACAATTCAAGCAATATTTTTCAAATTACTTTTATTGTAAACCTAAATTACTTTTCACTTATTATTCTAAATTACTTTATTATTTATTTTGCTACGTTGAACACAAATTCTATCGAGCCTTAATGAGATCTTAATTTACTCTAGAATTAAAAATTAATTGAAACGAAAGAACAAAAAATGCTGCCTAAGTGATTTAAAAGAATTTATCGAAACTTTCCAAACTCAATTTTTTTTTTTAAATTATAATATTTATATTTATTTAAATTGTACTAATAAATGCTAAGACATCTAGAAAATTATTAAAAGAAAATTAATAGAAATCAAACATCTACTGTAGAATTTAATATAATTTATAATGAAGTGAAGACAAGATTGA